ACAAGTATAAAGCTCGTTTAGTTGCCAAGGGGTATCGTCAAAAAGAATGACTTGACTACTTTGACACTTATTCACCAATAGTTAGAATAACATCTATAAGATTATTAATAGCTATAGCGTCTGTGTACAATCTCGAGATACATCAAATGGATGTTAAGACTGCATTTCTAAATGGTGAATTAGACGAAGAAATATATATGGAACAACCTGAAGGTTTCATTGTCAAAAGTCAAGAAAAGAAAGTTTGCAAGTTGATTAAGTCATTATATGGACTCAAACAAGCGCCTAAGCAATGGCATGAAAAATTTGATCATAATATGATTACGAATGGATTTGTAATCAATGAAAGTGATAAATGCATTTATGTTAAGCAAACAAAAAATGCTTGTGTTATTATATGTCTATATGTTGATGACATGCTCATAATGGCAACAAACAAAGATGTGATTAACTCCACAAAGAAAATGCTAAATTCTAGCTTTGATATGAAAGATATGGGATTAGCTGATGTGATTCTTGGAGTTCATATTGTAAGGAATTCAGATGGATACGTCCTAACTCAATCACATTATGTTGAAAAGGTTCTAAAAAGGTTTGGACATTATGATTGTAAACCTGCAGTAACTCCTTTTGATCTCATTCATAAACTAACTAAAAACGAAGAAGAGAGCGTATCTCAATTGGAGTATACCCAAGTTATAGGTTGCTTGATGTACATTATGAATTGTACAAGACTTGATCTTGCTTATTCAATAAGCCGACAAAGTAGGTATTCAAGTAATCTTGGAAGAGATCATTGGAATGCTTTAATAAGGGTATTAAGATACTTAAAGCATACAATGAACTATGGTTTGCATTACACTCAATATCCCCCAGTATTAGAAGGATATAGTGATGCAAATTGGATTTCAGGGAGCACAGACAGTAAATCCACAAGTGGATATGTATTTACACTTGGTGGAGCAGCTGTGTCATGGAAATCATCCAAGCAAACATGTATAGCACGTTCGACAATGGAATTAGAGTTTATAGCCTTAGATACAGCTGTTGATGAAGCTGAATGGCTTAAACATTTTCTGGAAGATATTCCATTATGGCCCAAGCGTGTGACTGCAATATGTATACATTGTGACAGCATGGCTGCACAAGGTCGAGCCAAAAACGCTGAATATAATGGGAAGTCAAGACATATAAGGCGACGACATAAGACCATTAGACAGCTACTCAAGAATGGAACTATTTCCATTGATTATATTACATCGAGGGGAATGGGTTTAAAGCCAACTCAATGAGTTATAACTTGACGGAAACCTAACCTAGCTAATTGGAGATCCCATGGTCTAGGTTCAATAGGCAAACTAGTTGAGGAAAACTCAAAGTAAGAAACACACAATCTTTACTCATTCTTATGATAGAAAACAGTGTGTTGCCTATAAGACGAAGAGGGTGAATAACTATTCTTAATAATGTTAATATCTTATGGTTAAGATGAATAGAGCAGGATATTCTTTATTAGCATTACCTATATGAAATTGATGTGGGGTCGCATCTTTGAGAATTGGTATGGCTACAATTCTCTAAAGGTCTCATGAAATCAGGATATGTTCAGGACCAAAATGAACACAACCGTATGAATTGAAGTGTGTCAAGATGTGATATGTGTGATACTTATTGTTTCGATTTTACTACTAAGAATGATCAGTTCAAGATAGTAAATTCACTGCTTCATTAGGTAAATCCGATAAGTACTCACTAAAGAAGGTTCAAGTCCAAAAGACATTTATCTCGATGCGTATCATATCTAAGTTCTCTGGAAATACGTTACTAATTTAGCCAGTATCTTATTTTCTATTCAAATGTGGGGTATTGCTAGAGTTTGAATAGAAAATGTGGGGTATTGTTGGAACTTGTGTTTATGTGGGACTCCAAGTCCCACATCGCCCAAACCTTTTTAGAACTTCACCTTTATAAGTGAGTTCACTCACTTATAGTTTGAAATGAATTGGGCCAAAGCCATGGACCTTGGGCCTTAGACTTGGAGGGTTTGGGTGCATATATTAAATGTCAAAGATGGGCCTTGGGCCTCTTAGGCTCGGATGGACAAAAAACACAAGTATCGTTTTTACGTTTTTGATTTTTGCATTCAGTTTTTTTTCGAAAGGATAAAACTGATCACATGAACGGTAACAACCGTTCTTAATGATAAATATGAATGGTTTTAACTGCTCTATTACACCATTATATATATGGCCGTCAGATCAGAAACAGATACAACAATTCCATCGTATCCTTCATACTTCACAAAGAAACACCACAACCAATTCGCTAAGAATCCAAGTTCGAGTGCAAGAACTTGGGTTAGATAGTTGTATCCTGCAAGATAGACGTCCATTGAACTGCTGCACTGCTGTAGGGACGAATTTCTGTCTTAGGAGATTGCTTTTGCAAGCCTCTATCTTCAAAGAACAAGTCAGTGATTTATGATTTTATATACAATTTCATTAAGTGTTTATATTTTGATATGTTGTATTTGTTGTTGAATTTTTCATTTGAAATAAAACTGTGCAAATTGTTATATATTATACACTTGACATTTGATTGGTTATAATAGAATATGCTGTTGAATTCTACACCTGAGCCACTCCGGCCGAGAAAGGAACACGTCTCAGCCTTGAGTTCTAGATTTTGAAGACAAGGTTGCTAGATCAATGTGAAGTTTAATAAATAATTTGGCTTTCAATGTGCCAAACACGAAGTAATTTGGTAACACCTCAGTTTACTGAGAAACTAATGAAATGACATCTTTAGGCGCAGAAACGCAAGACTCTTCGCCGGTTGAGATTTGGGTAGATACCTGACCGAACTAGAAGTAGTGCTAGCTAGCTATTCCACCAACTTGAAGGTACTCCAAGAGTGATTAGTTCTATGGCTCCAGTTATGTTTCAACGAACTGAATATGTAATAACGAAGGGGTTAGGATAATTAGTATTTTTCTTAGGGTTGTGAGAAAGTTTCACCTAGAGCATTTGAGTTGTTTGTTTATTGTGTTCGGGGGCCCTTTACATTGCGAAATGTCTTATACTTATAGTGATTGAAATGCTCAGCCATGCAGCTCCACCTGATAATACCAATCACTTCCACGCTGACTAATTTCAAATGAAATATCATGTGGCCCTTGAATGTTGCGTCTTAACCAAAAGACACCCCTTCTAACTTGTTTGTTCAGATGCATCCATGCAATCATAAAGCAAATTAAAATTCAATTGCAATCCTACCTTTGAAGCATTATCCTACCTTTGCTGACCAACCAATTCAATCCTTTATCCAAAGGATAATCATCAAATAACTAGCCACAACATGCATGACATGCATGATCTTAGCAACAACATGCATGATCTTAGGCTACCAATTAAGTGGCCTCGGCGCCACATTTTGTTCTAACCAACAGCTTACAAATCTCAAGCAATTACAACTCACTTCGGATACATTCTACCAATATCCTAAATCAAATGTGATTGCATTCAAACACCTTGTCTAGGTAATTATCAATAAAATACTAGGATAATCCTAATTATTTAGAAGATAATTATTATTGTTATCACAACCGTAATAATATAAAATAATTGCAATCACCTTAATATTTGTCTCATCCAATGGCCTAAACCCTTTCATTCAATGACCTTGATCGCAGGAGCCAATGTGTAAAATTGGGTCCAAACATATTGCCCCAGCTGAACGGTTGAGGAAATTAAATTTCTTGCCTCTAGTCAATCGCTGAACACGCCATGGTCCACATGCTCTTGAAGCCGAAGAACTGTAGACTCTGAAGTTTTGCTCAGCAATGTACCAAGAATTTTCCTACAACACTATGTAATTCCACCGAAGAGGAACAGATCGACGGAATGAGTAGATAGATTAACTGTTCTGGAGAGGCAAAAAATATAGTCTTACAGTTGTTCTACTTAGCATTTCCGTTACTCAATTCATTTTACCTAGAGTGATTTTATCTTATTGCAATGACAACTTTCAGGAGGAAGAAATACAGACAAAAACAGAGGCTGAGAAAAGCCAGCCATAAAACCGCTAAACAACCAAAACCGCTAAACCACCAAAACCGCCAAACCATAACGAGTCAGTCCGTGAATTACATTATTAGCTTGTAGGCGTAAAGGAGTACAAAAATGAGAGCACCTCCACCCCTCTCAAATCCCTAGGGGATAATGGATCAAATCCCCTCCTTTCCCCAAAAACTCCTCCACGCCATTCCAGGGCTTTGGGGAGCCTATTCTCTCACCTAGGTTAAAGTCGACTAGCCCAGCCCTTAGGTCATGTGATGCAAGATGGGCGTCAGTTACAATTAAAAAAATTAAATAAAAATACAAAAAAAAAAATAATATCTTTTTCTTTCTATAAATATCTAACCATGTTTTTCCACCTTACATTACATTTAAATATTTTCAAATACTTTCAACTAATCTTTTATTATCATCCAAAATTAAAAATAAAATTATCTTTTATTATTTTATAAAAAAAAATTAATAATATTTTAATACGAATTGCCTGGACTATTTAGTTTAGGGGTAGAGATGTACTTGGACAATTACTGTGTAGTAAAGATAGTTACTATTCATTTGGGGGATTAAATTGCTTATAGCCCGATGACTTTTTAAGGGTGGAAATGCTTTGAGAGAAGACTAGTTGGGTTGCTGCTGGGAAGATTTATGCAATTGGGCAATTAATTGTAATTGAACCTCCTGTTTAATGGAGGGTGGTGGGCAATTATTAGTAATTGGTTGTTTGGGGGGTGGGGGGTTTGGGAATTATTTGTAATTGTATGGAGGGTGGTGCCAATTAACTCTGTTAGGTCTAGTTAAGTAGGTGGAAGCATGAGACTGAGAGGCTAAAGAGAAGGTTTTGCTGGTCGCTTACTCTATAAATACATAGCCCATGCACGTTGATGAAAGCTTAACAATTTCAAGTTAGTTGGAACGAGGGACTAGATGGAGATCGGGGGAGAGGGACTAGATCCAGTGAGCCCTACTGGCCACTACTTCAAAAGCTCCGTTTTGTCGATATCGATTCTTGGTGTTTTAGAATTTGAAATTCCAATCGATGACTCTCAAACTCTATCATTGCTTGAGAATGTGTTTCTCCCCATCAACTCACGCTTCTCCTCTATCATGGTACGCTCTCTCTCTCTCTCTCTCTCTCTCTCTCTCATACTCTTTGTTTCCTAACTTTTACATATTAAACAACTTTTCAAAAGCAAATTTTGTTTCAATATTTTACTAGGAAGGTTGAAGATTGTGTTAATCCTCACAATAAACTATCAAAGTCAGTCGAATTTAAGACTTGTCAGTTATATGTAAGTCTCATAGATCGTACATAGTGTTGGTGACAAAACTATCTAGCTTTTTTTCAATTTTTTTATGCAACAATATCACTAGATTGTAGTGATGGTTAAGGGAGGACTAATGTGTTTAGGCCAATTCGCTACGACAGAGTGATACTTTTTTTTTTTTTTTGGACAAACAATAGCATTAATGGGTTAAATTATTAGTTGTTTTGGGAGAAGAGAGATCAGTTGAGATTAAACCTGCACTAGGTGCATGGGCATGATTTCTTTCCGCTATTGCGATGAAGTGTCACCTACGAGTGATGTAGGAGAAATGAAATGGCCACGAGTATTACAAATTCAATGAAAGTCCTCTTCAGTTGTAAGAGGTCTTACAATATCGCTTTGTCAAGCTATTTAGTAATATGGTATAATGGTATTTTCTTTATTTGTAAGTAATAGGTTTTAAGTTCAGTTCTCATGTGTGGCTAATTCAATAAATTTATTCTCCAGCCCCTTAGTGTAAATTTGTCATTAAATAAAAAAAATGCATTGTAAAAAAACCAGAAAAATAAAACATGGGATGTTCAAAATATAGTGGAATTCCTCTTGACTAAGTAAACATTTTTTTTTTTGGTCAAATACGATTTCTTTTATTTTTGTCTTTCAATTTTTTCCACATGTGGGCATAGGGCAAACTACATTTCACACCTTTTAGGTTTGGGGTGATTTTCAAACAGGTCATGAAAATTAGGTTCAAATTCTTCTTTTTGTTACTCCATTGATTAAAATCCTATTCATTTTGAATTTTTGATTAAGGTCCTTGGGTATTAATAACATCATTAATTATTTGAATAATAAAATATTTTTATTTTTAAATATATTCTTTTAGTGTTAAAAATGCTACAATTAGTATATTTATATTTATGGCTAAATTTGTTATCATATATTTTTATTTTTAGTTTGTACCTATTTTAATTTGCAAATATTTTTTAATTTGTACCAATTTTCTTTTCATTTTTAATTTGTACTCGTATATTAGTTTCCTTTTGTGCCCATATTTGTTAAAGTTTTATTTGTGTTTGTACCCATGTGTATACCATTACGTGACATTGTATATTTAATCAATGATAGAAAAATTACATATGTTATATTTATGTTTTATGCCTAAACTTTGTATCATATATTTATATTTTTAGTTTGTACCCACTTTTAATTTGCAATTTTTTTTTTAATTTGTAGTATTTTCTTTTTAGTTTTATTTTGTGCCCATGTATTAATTTCTTTTAGCGCCTATATTTTTAAAAATTCATTTGTACTCATAATTTTTAATCTGTTATATGTACCCTAATTTATTTATAATGTACCCATTCTTCTTTATTAATGTACCACTTTGTTATATGTGAAATGTACCAATTTTTTTGTAAAATGTACCAATTTTTTTTAACACTATGGATTCATTCTTTTGCCATTTATTATTTCTTATTTTTACATAGTTTTTATGCATTTATGCAATCAAAATGTTTGAATGTTTTTATTGTAACCCTTTCTAATAGTATTATAATGAGGGATTTTAAATTTATAGGATTATAAATCTCATAAAATATCAAACAATTAATGTCAAAACTATAAAAATATAAATATTAATAGTAATATAATGAGGTGTACAAAGTCAAGGGACCTTGATCAAATTTTGAATACTATTAAAGTTTTAATCTAAGAATGTTAAAGATTAGAGACCGCATCCAAAGTATCCCTTTATTTTATTTTATTTTTCACCAAAAGGAATTTGTTTATACAACGATATATTAATTTATACTAAGGAATACAATCAGACCATAATATTAAGTGGATGCCTCATAATATATTAAAAATTAAAATTGTATCACTTGATGGGTTTGGTCGGTTTGATTGTTTGGTCTTGTCAGATGGCCCACTCCTAACAACATTGATTTCGTCTCAACTAAACCACTTATTGCTAGGCATTGAGTTTTATCATAAAAGACCTTCGTGATATGGAGTGGAACCAAACATTTATATATTGTATTTTATTTTCTCAATTTTCCGATGTGGGAGTTATACTCAATCCTTCGTTCAATTGATGATATGGTGAACACAAGACCCTTGTATAGGCTAATGTATAAACCATATTTGTACCACATAAACTTATAAAGTGCCGATTTAGTCTCATCGAATGATATCCCTAAGCTTGATTAGTTTTAGATCTAAGCATTGTACTAGATCATTATGGTACGTAATATTGCATCATTATAGGACGTGGGCCAAATGTATCTGGGGACGTTTGAAGTTTCTTTTGAAGTACTCTTTACATGATGTACTCTTTTTCATGAACAATTAATAATTATTTAATTTGGAAGCAGATTGAAAACAATGGAAAGAAGCAATGGAAAAAGGTTGAAGTGAAGCTTGAAGACCATGTTAAAACTCCAATCTTCCCTTCCAACTTGTCAAATGAATCACGTGACGAGTATTTTGATGACTATATCTCAAACATAGCAACAACAAGATTTCCAGAAGACAAACCACTGTGGGAAATTCATGTTATAAAGTACCCAAATAGCAATGCAGCTGGTAACGTAATATTCAAGTTGCACCATGCGTTAGGTGATGGCTACTCTCTCATGGGCGCTCTTATCTCCTGTCTACGAAGGGCTGACAATCCTTCGCTTCCACTAACTTTTCCTTCACGACTGCCATCGAAACCGAAGAGTGAAAATGTTATGACCACAACTTTCTCATGCTTGTTGAACACCATATCCGATTCTTGGTGGGGCATTTCAAAGAGCATCGTGGGGGAAGATGATCGATCACCAATAAAATCCTCGACCAATGGACTTGAGTTCGCGCCAATTACAGTATCTACTATGACGATCTCTCTTGATCGAATCAGATTAATTAAGAGCAGGCTTGGAGTGGTAAGTCTCGGGTTTTCTCTGCAATATTTTGGTTTATGCTTGTGTGTATGTGCTTTTTTCTTTCTAAAACATAGGAATAAGCTTTCACGTTTGACCTTCCATCTCCTGTTGAAAACAAAAGTATATGTTTACGCCATTTATCCTCGGAACTGATAAATTTATTCTGCTCTCATAGGATGAGGGCATGCAGAATACTTAAACTGAACATGTGTTTAGCTAGGCTAACTGTCTGCTTGCAAGTCTATCTCAATGCCTTGATATAAACCTAAAAAGGTCTGAATGCCGTGACAAAATCCTACCCCGTGCATGGTGGGCATGATTATTAATTATTAGCCACTAAAATTTAAAGTACATTTACTTAAGAAAGTTTAAACTGCCAATTCTTTTTTTAGAAAACTAGATTTTAATCCCTAAATAAGATGAAGTTTAGAAAAATATCTTATACAAGATTAAAAATTAATTTTAGTCACTGGACTCTATTTAATGCTAGCATATGTATTCAATGTTTCTTTTTTTATTTATAATTTTATGAATTTAAATTTTATGAAAATATTATAAATTTTAATTCTCATTATGGTAGGCATCTTATATAAGAAAATATTTTCGTGGAGATTTTTCGGTACATTTATGTTTTTGCATATTTTCTTATTTGCCACTTATTCATAAAAATATATTTAGGTACGAACATTTCGATATAATGGAATATGTTTAGGTACGGACATTTTGGTACACTAGTTTAGTATAATATATTTAGGTACCGACATTTTGGTACACTAGTTTAGTATCATATAATTAGGTATGGAATTTTGGTACACTTATATTTTTACATATTTTCTTATCTGTCACTAATTCACTATAATATATTTAGGTACGGGCATTTCGGTACACTAATTTAGTAAAATATATTATGATATGGATGTTTAGGTACACTAATTGGAGAAAGTTAAATAAAATTGTATAATAATAAATTTAAAATTTAATGTAATAACATTAAATAAGTTATCTATTCAAAAACCCCTTCTTTTTTCTTTTTTCAATGTCAATGTGCCTACTTCATCCTAAATTCCAAATTAGAATATTCTGACCTATTGAAGCTAATGAAGAAGCCATGAAACTATGATTCTCAAATTTGTTTAACTATTCTCTAAATAACACATAATTTATCAATAAATTTCACCATAATGGTCTTGATATTGTTGAAGCTCAACGTGAACAGTTAAATCGGGGACTTGGGGACTTTGAGCCCTTAGACTCCCCATACATTATACATTTATATAGATCTTCTAATGGCTAGCAACAAAAATCTCTTACATATCGTTGTTTAAAATATTGAGACTAACAAAAAATAGAACAAAATACACACACAACATGCAAAATCACCAAACACCATATTGTCAAATTTGTAACATAGTTAACTTATTTACTATCACAGACGATAAATGACATTCTTACCGGGATGGTCTTTCTCGGCGCTCGACTATATATGCAAGAGATGGACCAAAGCTCAGGGGAAGCGCATAGCACATCATTGGTTTTACTAAATACAAGGATCATGGCGAATTATACGTCGATTGAAGAAATGATCAAACCCGACAGCAAGAGCCCATGGGGAAATCGTTTTACATTCTTGCAAGTTCCCATTCCCAAGTTGACTGAATTCTCAAATGTGCTTGACTTCGTCTGGAAGGCACAAAAAATAATCAAGCAGAAAAGAAATTCTTTTGCTACTTATTTCATTAGTGGGCTATTGGAGATGCTAAACAAGTTTGGAGGCCACGAGGTTAGTAAATAAGGACTCATTTGGTATACATGATTGGATTGAAAGGGAGAGTTTTCAAAATTTATGGTGTATTGAAGGTAGATGTTATTGATTTTTTGTTTGGAAGGGAACAGAACAAGATTAGCTATGAAGAAAATTCATCTCTTCTAATCCTACTATTTTATGAAGAATTAGAATGAACAAGTTTCCTTCATGAGTAATCCATCTTCTATTCTGTAGGTGGTCATAATTATATTATTTCTATTTCTAACATACTTTTAATTTAATATCCGTTTCATCCAATCATGTGCACCAAACCAGCCCAAGAAAAATGCCCGTGATATTTCATATATACAACATTTATTTAAAAAATTATAATGCTACTGGTGATGCAGGCAGCATCAAGATACATCCGTAGGACAATAAAGAACTCGAGCATGGTGATCACAAATATGATTGGCCCGCTGGAACAAATGTCTTTGGCAAACCATCCAATTAAAGGCTTATACTTTCTGGTAGTTGGGACACCTCAGGTAAACCAGATATTACTATATCATGCACACACGTACGGTCTCACAAGTTTTGGAAACAATAATATTCATCGTTCCGTTTCCTAATCATTTACATAACAACCTAAAGTTGAGATGGATCTTCTGCATTTAAAATGGGTGTGGCTTCCCTGTGACCCTAATAAGTGACTGACGCGTATTTATTATATATCTTGTCTTAATTTTGTTGTTATAAATTTAATACATGTCAAACACTTATTAGGGACACATAGAGGTCACACCAATTTTAGGTGCAGAATATCTGGTCTCCCTAAAGTTTGGTTGATAAACAAAGGGCTATGTGGTGTTTTTGTGATTGTCCTGTTCGTTTAGGGCTCTTCTAGTAGCATTTTACGAAATGATATTTGAAGAATTGTTTTGCAAAATGAAAACAACAAATAAAACTTTACATTTTTATGATGAAAGAATGCATCTTTGCATCTTCATTGAGTAAATGAATTTATTGTATTTTTAAAAATTTAACTACAAAGCATTATTTAATATAAATATAATTTCATATATAAATAAATAAATATATATATATATATGTATATGTATATTTGAGGTATGTTTTCTTAATGATAGTAGATATATATATATATATATGTGAGGTATGTTTTCTTAATGATAGTAGATATATAATATACATATATATAGGTAACACAATTTACATGGACCTGCAGGACCTTGACATATCAATCCTAAGTTATATGGGAGAGGTGAAGCTTGCCTTCACAATGAAAAAAGGCATCATAGATCCACAAAAGTTGAAGTTGTGCATGGAAAATGCCCTCGATATGATATTCAACGCCTCAGACATAAATTATATGCAAAATAGCACTGAAGAACAGTCACACGTTTGAAACTCTACCAAAACCGTAGATCTAAAAAATTCATAGTTGGCAAGACTTTTGCTCCCTCCTTCCCCTCACCTTCCTCTTTCTTGTTCTTATGGATTGCTCAAATTTGTTTCGTTTCAGTATTTCGTCAATAAGTGCCTGCCTAGTGAGGTTATTTTTGAGTCTCTCCTAGTGAGTATCTTAGTTTTTAAGTTGGTGTGTTCTCGGCTCCTCTTGGGTTTATTCCCTATTTTTGGTAGCTTCACTAGTAGTGTTGTGCATAAAATTCATTCTAGTATGGACACTAGTTGGTTTGTTGTCAATTCCTCTTCGAAGTTGATGCTGCTTGCTGTCAAAGAGTGTCATTCTACTTGTATATTGCAGTTTGGGCTAAGCCACACAAACACACTGTCATATGAATCAAATACCGAACTAAGTGTACGAGCATATTTTGTCTATAACATGCCATTGTCAGTAAAATAAAAAAGACATGCCGCTAAATCGTGTGCTATTCCTAAGCTTGATAAATTTTAGACCTAAGTATTGTACAACATCCAAGTATTTGGGACGTTTCAAGTTTCTTTTGAAGTACTCTTCACATGATTCATTCTATGAACAATTTACTTATTATTTAATTTGGAAATAGATTGAAAATAATGGAAAGAAACGGTGGATATTAAAAGGTTGAAGTGAAGCTGGAAGACCATGTTATAACTTCAATCTTCCCTTCCAACTTGTTGAATGAATCATATGACGAGTATTTTGATGACTAGATCTCAAACATAACAACAAAAAGATTCCCCAAGACCAACCACGGTGGGAAATTCATGTTATAAAGTACCCCAATAGCAGTGCAGCTTGTACTGTAATATTCAAGTTTGCACCGTGCATTAGGTGATGACTACTCTCTCGTGGGCGAGTTTATCTCCTGTCTACAAAGGGCTATCAATCCTTCTTTTTGCCTAACTTTTCCCTCACGATTGCCATCGGAGCCTGAGGCTGGTAATATAAGAATGTTGACCTCAAGTTTGACAGGTTATGTTAGAGGTTATGTGTTGAAATATTATATAGGAGACATGGGAAGGGACATGGAATTGGGAACCAAGCTTTTGTCGTTCTAGAAGCCGGATAAGAAGTCTGATTGGAGAAGAATTTTTCAACTTCTTTTTAAATTTTAGTTAAAAGCACATATAGGGAGTTCATTAAAGATGCTCTAATATTGTTGGCAAAGTTTTCACAAACTATATATGTAGAGAAATGCTAAAGAGATTCTTAAAAGTTGAACTCTCCATAGATTATCTCTCACATCATATTTTTTACACAATATTTTATATTATTGACACGAAAATAGACGTAAAACTGTGAGATGTCAAAGTTCATGAAGAGTTTTACTTTGAAAGTCTATGAAAATCCCATATTGACGTGAGATTGACGTGAGATTGACGTAAACCTGTATTAGTGATACAGCTCCCCTTGAACAAAAAGTTTCAACGGTATTAATTAACACTGACAAGGAAACAAAATTATATGCGACCTGTTATTAAGAACATATTTTTTCTGTGCAACGGTATTAACAGTGACAACACAAAAGACATCCGTTTGCTGTTCACTTTATTCCATATAAATAAAATATAAATATAAATACATAGCCGATCATGCAAATTGAAAAGCTATAGAATTTCGAGTTTTGGGGGAGAAAAAGTGGAAGCAAAATTCGAACATAAACCAAGATGGAGATTTGGGAAGAGGACTGGAGCCAGTGAGCCGTACTGGCCACTATTTCAACAGCTCTGTTTTATTGATATCAATTCTTGGTGTTTTGGAATGTGAAATTCCAATTGATGACTCTCAAACTCTATCATTGCTTGAGAATTTGTTCCTGCCCATCAACCCACGCTTCTCCTCTATCATGGTGAATGTGTTCCTGCCCATCAACCCACGCTTGTCCTCTATCATGGTACACACACACTCTCTCTCTCTCTCTCTCTCTCTCTGTGATGTTCTTTGTTTCCTTCCCTTTACTTATTAAACACGATTTCCAAAAGCAATTTTTGTTTGAATTTTTACTTGAAGGTTGGTGATTATGTTAATCATCACAATAAACTATCATAGTGTGTCAAACTTAAAACTTATCAGTTATAAGTGAATATAAATATCATTAGATCGTAGTACTAATGATATAACTATCTAGCTTTTTTTTTTTTTTATTTTTTTTTATGCAACAATATTACTAGGTCGTAGTGAAGATTAAGGGAAGGCTGATGCATTTAAGCCAGTTTGCTAATTTCGAGTTTTGGGGGAGAAAAAGGGGAAGCAAAATTCGAACATAAACCAAGATGGAGATTTGGGAAGAGGACTGGAGCCAGTGAGCCGTACTGGCCACTATTTCAACAGCTCTGTTTTATTGATATCAATTCTTGGTGTTTTGGAATGTGAAATTCCAATTGATGACTCTCAAACTCTATCATTGCTTGAGAATTTGTTCCTGCCCATCAAACCACGCTTCTCCTCTATCATGGTGAATGTGTTCCTGCCCATCAACCCACGCTTGTCCTCTATCATGGTACACACACACACACACACACACACACTCTCTCTCTCTCTCTCTCTCTCTCTCTCTCTCTCTCTGTGATGTTCTTTGTTTCCTTCCCTTTACTTATTAAACACGATTTCCAAAAGCAATTTTTGTTTGAATTTTTACTTGAAGGTTGGTGATTATGTTAATCATCACAATAAACTATCAAAGTGTGTCAAACTTAAAACTTATCAGTTATAAGTGAATATAAATATCATTAGATTGTAGTACTGATGATACAACTATCTAGCTTTTTTTTTTCAATTTTTTTTATGCAACAATATTACTAGGTCGTAGTGAAGATTAAGAGAAGGCTGATGCATTTAAGCCAGTTTGCTACATCATTGTGATATTTTTTTGACAATGATAGTGTTAGTGGGTTAAATTGTTAGTTCTTAAGGGGAAGAAGATCAGTGAAAATCAAATCTGCCGAGTGTACATATGCATGAATGATTACATTTTGTCATTGTGGTAAAGCGTCATCTACCTACAACAAACGCCATTGGAGAAGTGAGGTGGCCAATAGTATTTCAAGTTCAATGAAAGACCTCTTAAGTTGTAAGAGGTCTTACAATATCGTATTATCAAGCTGTTTAATAATATGGTTTAGTGATATTTTCTTCATTTGTAAGTGATAAGTTTTAAGTTTGAAACTCATGTATGGCTAATTAGATAAATTTATTCTGCACCCCATAGTGAAAATATGTCATTATATTAAAAAAAAAATGCTTCGTCAAAAAACACAAAAAAAAATAATAATAAAAGAGATGTTTAGAATAGTAGAATTCCTCTTGGTAAACGATTTTTGGGTCCAAATACAATCTTTTTTTTTTCTTTCAATATTTTCCACATGTGCACTTGGTTTATAGGGCAAACTACATTTCACACTTTTTACGTTTGGGGTGACTTTCAGACAAGGTCATGAAGTATTAATATATATATATATATATATTTTTTTTTATTTTGCACCAAAATGGGGTTTTTGTTTTGTTTTATACAACGACATATTAATTTTTACTGAGCAATAAGACTAAACCAAACCATAATATTGAACAGATACCCCTAATGTATTAAAATTGATGACATGATGAATATGAGACCCCTTGTATGGACTAATGTATAGGTCATATTTGCACCACATAAACTTGTAAAGTGCCGATTTAGTCTCATCGAATGATATCCCTAATTAAGCTTGATAAGTTTTAGATCTAATTAAGCCTTGTACTAGATCATTATGGTATTTGCATCATTATAGGAAGTGGGCTAAATTTTTTTGAGGACGTTTGAAGTACTCTTTACATGATGTGCTCTTTTTCATGAGCAGTAATTATTTAATTTGGAAACAGATTGAAAAAAATGGAAAGAAACAATGGAAAAAGGTTGAAGTGAAGCTTGAAGACCATGTTAAAACTCCAATCTTCCCTTCCAACTTGTCGAATGAATCATATGACGAGTATTTTGATGACTATATCTCAAACGTAGCAACAAAAAATTTCCACAAGACATACCACTGTGGGAAATTCATGTTATAAAGTACCAAAATAGCAATGCAGCTGGTAATGTAGTTTCAAGTTGCACCATGCGTTAGGTGATGGCTACTCTCTCATGGGCACTCTTCTCTCCTGTCTACAAAAGGCCGACAATCCTTCTCTTCCCCTAACTTTTCCTTCACGGCAGCCATCAAAATCAAAGAAAGAAAATGTTATGACCAAAACTTTCTCATCCTTGTTGAACACTACATCCGATATTTGGTGGGGCATTTTAAAGAGCATCACTGGGGAAGATGATCAATCACCAATAAAATCTTCGAATAACGGACTTGAGTGCGAGCCAAGTACATTATCAACTATGACGATCTCTCTTGATCAAATCAGATTAATTAAGAGCAGGCTTGTAGTGGTAAGTCTCAGGTTTTTTCTGCAGTATTTTGGTTTATGCATGTGGGTGTGTTTTTCCTTTCTAAAACACGGGAATAAGATTTCATGTTTGAACTTCCATCTCCTGTTGATAAAAAGAAAAAAAAAATTCCCTGTTAATTTAAACATTAAAGTCATGATTGATAATAAATATTTCAATTTTATTTTGAAAATTAAACATTGATCTTGCAACACTTATTTTTTTCTAGTCTAATGATACTTTTCTTCTAAATTTTCAAAAATCTCCATTGCCATTTGATCGAGAAACAAAAAGGATATGTTGTCACTTCTTTTTAAGCCATATATTCTTGAAACTGAATATAATTTAGGGATTGTGCGCTCATAGGATGAGGGCACAGAAGACTTAAACTGAATATAATTTATTTTTATAAGTCAATGTGTCTACTTCATCCTAAATTCCTAACTAGTATAATCTGACCTATTGAAGCTAATGAAGAAGCCCTGAAACTATGATTCTCAATTCTCAAATTTGTTCAACTATCGTTTAAAAGAACACATAATTTATCCATAAA